TGGACGATTTGTAGAGTGACCTTCTTTGAATTGTGATGTATTTGTAGATGTCATCTTTTACCTTGCTCTGATACCAAATGTAGGATCTGAAATAGATACACTAAAACACTAGAGGGGGATGAATAGTATTCTTTTAAAATTTATGTAAAGTAGATTATAAATTGCAAAGAAAAATAACAATCTCAGAAATTTACAAACATAAACACAAAGTTTTATACTGGTTCCACCAATCCGATGTACATCCAGTCCCCAATCAAATCCCGCTTGAGAGTTTCCACTATGATTTTGATAAACTTACAAAATCAAAAGCAAAACTGACCAATTTGCAAGTCCCTGTAAAATTGTAATACCAATTGATAAACACCTTGCTAATTTGCACACCAATCTCTAAACCAAGAGATTAACACCTCTCACAAACCGAGAGAACTTTTGAAGCAACAATTTTGATTCCTATAAGCCTTGATTTGTAGTGTAGTGTAGTAGTAGTATAGGAATGATTCTAACTTCTGTAAATCGCCTAAACAATAAGTATTTGAATAATGTTCAAAGGCAATTTTAGAAACTTTTCTTTTTCTCAAAATCTGAATGTTTTTCACTTGAAAAAAATGCACAAAGATCAAAGCTTATGGGTATGTAAGTCTTTACATTTTTTCTGAACAAATAACCTATTTATAGCCATTGAAAAGACAATTACTTGAACTTTAAAAATGTTTAAAAATGGCTATAAACAGTCATAAATTCAAACTTTAAATTCTGGAAAAACTGTATCTGTAGTCGACTATAGGACAGATTAGTCGACTACACTGAGTTTGAACAGAATCCGTGAAGTCAGAAAATTTCTCAGTAGTCGACTATAAAGTTCATTAGTCGACTATACTGTAATTAGACAAAAACTTGAAAAATGAATTTTGTCTTTAGTAGTCGACTATAATGTCAATTAGTCGACTATACTGTAAAATGACAGAAACTTATATTTTTGTCATAAGCTTTAGTAGTCAACTATTATCCAAATTAGTCGACTATACTGTAAATTGACAGAAACATATATTTAAGACATATACATGAGTAGTCGACTAATATACTTATTAGTCGACTACTAAGAGTAAAAAATATGAACTAAATGTTTTTATACTCAATTATTAACTATAACTCTAATGGTTAACATAGGAGATTTCTATAGTTAACCAACACACTAAGCCTGTGTTAGTGTGTTCTAATATTTATGTGTGTGTGTGTGAGTGAGTGATCAAGGCTTGTACAATAATTCTAAGTAAAGAAAATATAAAATACATTATCTTATATGTTCTTCATCTTCTTCACTTCATAATGCCTTGAACTCAACTTGCACTTTAAATCTGTATATAAAAGTTAGTGCATTTGTATATAACACACATTGTATAAATTGTTATCATCGAAATAATATCATGGAGATATGATATTCAACAGTTTTGTCACCCATGTATCAATACAATATTAATTGATCTGGGCGGAAAAGTCATCATGGTTATAATATTAGTCTGAACAGTTATAATGCACCTAATAACAAACACTAATTTAGATTATTTGAAGTTAAAGTTGGATGGAATATTATTTCATGTGAAATTAAACTTTGTGTTAGACTAGGTAGTCTCAGGACAACACGGTCTTAGTACCGAGAATTACAATACTCTCTAGTAGGAGGATAGAAAACAAACGTCCCCTTAGGGGGGGGGGGTTATTGGCTAGGACAAAATAGAGCCATGTGGGAAAATTGTTCTAATGGAACAATTTTATCCCTTTGGGATATTTTGAGTGGGGTAAAGTGGGATAATTTGAGCATTTGATTTGGCAATTCACGTGAGATAATTGATGACGTTACACCTTATTAAAAAATAATTTTATCTATTAATTACTTCTAAATTAACTTATCCAATTGGTTTAGTTATATTATTTAGTATATTATTTTAATATAAACATTATTTTACTTTAAATTAAAATATAAGATGTTGTACTATAATTACTAATCAATATTATTAAGTATTATATTACATTATATTATATTATATTAGCATGCTATACTATATAATAATTAATATAATATAAGATCAATTTATTTAATATAATATTTTAATAATATAATATTTAATAATAAAATTATTTTATTTATACAAAAATATAATATGTTATACTATAATTACTAATTAATATTATTAATTATTATATTATATTACATTATATTAGTATTCTACATTATATAATAATTGATATAATATATGAACAATATATTTAATATAATACTTTAATTATATTATTTAATTTAATATATTATAATATAGTATCATAGGATATAATGTAGTGTATAAAATATTATAATATTTTACTTTATACAATGTAATATTTTTTAAAATTTTATATTATAATTAGAATATAATATATATTACATGATAATTACAATAATATATATTTTTATGCTATACTATATAATAATTAATATAATATAAGATCAATTTATTTAATATAATATTATTTAAAATACTATATTGTAATTAAAATATAGTATAATATTATATGATAATTACTATGATATATAAAAATATCTAAAATGTATTATATTATAGTACAATAATAAATTTATTATATTAATATAATATAATATAATATGATCACATAACATGATTTATAGTATATTATATTTTATAATTAAATGTAATATACTAACATATTTATTAATTTTAATATGTTATATTATATTACAATATATTATTATATTGGTTTAATATAATACACTATAATATAATTGTTACAATAAAATATCATATAACATTATAGTATATTATTATATTGGTTTAATATAATACACTATAATATAATTGTTATAATAAAATATGGAAAAATTGCTTCAAGGCCCCAAACTTAAAAAAACAATGTGGCCCAGCCCCCTGTAGTTTGGCCCATGTGGCTAAGCCCTTAAATTTTTAAAAATTGTAACTGAGCCCTAAAAGCAGTTATGACACCCGTATTTGCACCCAGCCTCCCTAAAATACCCCCGCCTTCAACTCCGTGCCTCGAAAACGAGATCCGATCGCTGGCGAAACCTCTCCGTCGCATTTAAGGCGAGATGATGGCCGTTTTGGGGGGAAATTTTGGCGCGCTCCCTCCGTTATATCTCCTGTTAACCCACTCGGCTTTGAAGAGAGTGTATTTATGGTGCAAAGGGCAGATCTTTGCGGTTAGGGCTTACGATCTTCGTCTAATTTTAGCAGCACCTGACTTTTTCCTGTATTATAATTAAACATTTAACATCAACAACACTTGACATCCAACATCCAATAGTTAACATGCAACAATGAACTGTAACAGTTACGCTATAAACCTTAACACTTAACAGCCAAACTTAACATTAATAAGAAACCTTAACACTTAACAGCCAAACTTAACATTAATAAGAAACCTTAACACTTAACAGCCAAACTTAACATTAATAAGAAACCTTAACACTTAACAGCCAAACTTAACATTAATAAGAAACCTTAACACTTAACAGCCAAACTTAACATTAATAAGAGGTATATAGTTCACATTTAACATTAAGGTATCAGCTAACATGTCCTTCAACCAATGTCCAGGCATATAGTTCACAATTCAACTTCAATCCCTTAACATCTATGTAAATTACAAAATATAACATATAACATTATCTTACTTCTTTATGGATTTCTGTGGTGCGTTTAGTGAACTTGTAATTTTTCTTTTTCTCCTTACACCCATCTGGAAACTCAACAACGTTTGGGTGGCTTCATCGGTGCTGCCATTCCCTGATGATGACGCATGGGTGGACGACGACTTGGAGGCAGGGGAGGATGTGAGAGAATCGGTGCCACGGTCGGTCTCAGATGGCAAAAGGGGGTCTTCGTCGGTCTTGGAAGGCGAGGGAGGATCTTCGTCGGTCTTGGAAGGCGACGGCGAGTCTTCTCGCTCGTCGTTCATTGGTGCATCTTCCTGACGTTGCAGCGGCGGCGGAGGATGGTGAACCACTTCGTATTCGTTCGCCGATTTTTTCTCCATCTGCGAACTGGTTTCGACCTAACCCTAGAAGCGGTTTTGGTTTTTCGCCGGAGAGTAAGCCAGAGACAGAGTGCGGGAGGGAGAGAGAGGAGAGAGAGAGAGCGCCTCGATAGTAGCGGAGTGGCGGCACCGTTACCAACGCACGATGGCTGTAGCAGAGTGGGCGGGAAGGGTAGATTCGGGATTCTGCGGGTTGAGTGAGCTGGAGGGGCTAAAATGAAGTTTAGGAGTGTATTTTGGGTTTATACCAAACTTTAAAAGTACATGGGGCTGTTGCATATTGTTTTTTCAAGTTTGGGGCCTTGAAGCAATTTTTCCATAAAATATCAACTATAATTAATATTATATATTATATAACAATATATATTATTAAAATATTATATAATATTATAATAAATATGTTGTATTATTATATAATATAGTATGTGATATTGCATAATAATATATAATAAATATCATAAAATAAATTATACATATAAGTTAAACTATAATAATATTTTTTTATTATATGATAATATATTGAATATATTATTACTTTATATTTTATATATCATGTAATATATTTATAATATAATTAGCATGTATTAGTTTAAGTAATAGAAAAAAGTTTAAAAATAGTAATAGAAAAAAGTTTAAAAATTATCCTAATTGTCTTCAAAGTGGAACAAAATTGTTCCAATATGGAGGATGGGGTAAATTTTTACTATCGGGACAAATTTTTTATATATGAGTAGGGTAATTTTCTCCCAAGTGGTGAAATTGTCTCACTATTATTCCAAAAAACCAATAACATAAAAATATAATATTATTATTCTATTGTACCAATAAATAACGCTATGAAATACAATCCTAAAATTATCTCATTATTCCCTCGAATGTCCCGATCAATAACCCCCCCTTACTATTATAACCTCGGGCTGGAGCGAACTGACCCGTAATACTTGGGGCGGGGGGGTGGGTTCGACTGCCGTAGGATTTAGACGGGTTCAATTTCCAACTCGACCCGCTAGAGCCCATCCCTCTCAGCCCTAACTGGCCGCAGCCGCCACGAAAAAAAGTAGTCGGAGAAGAGAGAGAAAAGCTCCATTTCGATTTCATCGGAGCTCACCCAAGAAGAAGAAAGGGAAAGCTTCTCTCTCTCGCTCTCTCTCTCTCTCCTCTTTCCCGCAGACATGTGCGGGATCCTCGCAGTCCTCGGATGCGTCGACACGTCGCTGGCCAAGCGATACCGCATCATCGAGCTCTCTCGGAGGTCTCTCAGTTCTTTAAAATACCATCGCCTTTGTTTGAGATTTTATTTTATTTTTGATATCGGCAGCTAAAACGTTTTGTGCTTTGTTTGAGCGAGTAGGTTGAGGCATCGAGGTCCTGACTGGAGCGGGCTGCATTGCCATGGCGACTGCTATCTTGCGCACCAGCGGCTTGCTATCATGGACCCTGCTTCTGGTGATCAGCCCCTCTTCAATGAGGACAAGACGATCGTCGTCACGGTCAGTGATAAAGATTTGCTGGAAGTGCTTGTGTCTTGCTGTTGCTTTTGTGTTGATGCGGCCGGGGTCTGTTTGTTCCTGCAGAACGTTGAGCAATTGACTTGTTCATCATTTTTTGAGATTTGAGGTGCTATGGTTTAGAGCTAATGATACTTGAATTGTGCACTCTCTATGCACAGATGAGCATGTTGGTTCATCAGATTCATGATTTGTTGTTAGGGTTCACTTAGTCCCGCGTTGTCTCGCATTGATTACGTGCGAGTCAATTGCGGGCTTTTAAAAAAATTTTGTTCTCTCTCTCTAACAGCTATCTTTTAGCCGGTGGCTTCCTCGTTCGTCGCTCACAAATTGCATCAGAACCAATTCCATCTTCCCAGTTGCGAACAGACAATGCGGGTGATGATCATGGTATTGCAGTGTTCGCTTGAGACCGGTTTAGTTCAAAGACAAATTAATGACATCGGGATTGTGGGTCCGATCTTGTCTAGATTAGTGTAAAGACCACCCTTGTGGGCGTCGGAATCATGGTTGTATGTTAGGGGGTCCAAGGCTCGTATCGACTAAATGGGGAGTCAGTTGTTGCCTTCTTCTTTTGTAAGAGAGATTTGGGTTGCCTCTCTCTAATGACTAGCTTTTAACGGGGTGTTCTCCTAGATCTCTTACATTTTACATATTTCCTTAAAGTTGGTTTTGAGGGTTACATGCAATTATGGAAAATACAGTTTTAGTTTCTTTATTTGCTTATGTAAAGAAACAACAATTCCATCAGAAAGAGCTAAAGGTGATGTCAAGGACAAACTTTTAGTCTAATAGTAAAACTTGGGGTAGAGTGTATAAACGATTGATATAAAGGGTTCTGATATTCAAAATCTTTTCCCCCCATCAAGGGCATTATGGTTCTGTATGCATTGTGATTATTGAGAAGTTGAAGCTTTTCTTGCTGATTGGTGGTTCAATTTGAGATCTGCATTGTAGTAAACTGGTTATACTTGTAGTCATAGTTGCCACGATTCCCTGGACCCCACTAGAACCATTTACAGTTCCCGTGACCCGATTTTCGGTACATTTGCGAACCCATTCCCTTCGATACACAAAGTGGTTCCCAAAAATGAGGTAACACTCATACGATTATCTATTCTATCATTTGCTCTTTCAGACTCGTGATGAGCGTCGGAGTGGGGGAGTTTCTTTTTAATCAAGCAAGCATTCCCACCTTGACTAGGTTTAGGAAATCTGATCTACTCTAATCGGTCCCAGTTCGAAGCAAGATATAAATTATTAGGACACTAAACCCACCTTAGCCGACTTACAGAGGAATAATGAAGCTATAGTCGACATTCAGAAAAGGAGATTCTAACCTTAAATGAGTCGAACAGTTGACGTACCGCTTACAAGTATGCGGGGCAAGCAGTCCCTTTAGATGCATGTGCACAAGATGCAATGCAATATGCAAATCGAGTGAAGAGGGAAGCATAATGGAATATATAAGCCAACAAATTTATTATAACTAAATACATATGTTAATAAAATGTGAAAATGAGATCACGATCCCAACACAAACTATATGTTAATAAAAAGTGAAAACGAGATCAAGATCTAGAGATGATATGAAGACTTAGGGTAAAATTACCCGGGAAGCTTCTAGAGCTTCATAGGCACTAAATACATTATAGGATACCTATTAAATTGATGGGAACTTTTTTATAAGAGAGACATAGAATTAGCTGTCTTTGGAATGTCTGTAATTAAGAAACTTGCTGAGAACATGAGTCTACTTGAATTTAAGGTCGCTGAGGATGTCTTCTGATAAATGCTCTTAATTTAAGTTGCTTAACATTTAATAACACTCATCATTGTTTAAAAAACTAACTTGCATTCCTATAAACAATGACATTAAATGACATTTACAAGTTACAACCTACCTCGAGAATTTATCATTTTTTAATATTTTTCTATAATTGCATCATTAATTATAGTATAAAAAACATCCCTCCGTCTTTCGCCGCACCAAACTCCCTGTTTATTTTCGCGTAGACCTATTCTTGGGATTGGCCACAAATCTTTTGATATAAATAAGGGACATTTTTTCAAAAGAGACCCATTTGAACATTTAATTGCAAAAAACGATCTGTTTCCAAGATATTTTTAAAAACCGACCTGGTTTCAGCCTTGTTCTTGAAACCAGGTCGGTTTCTGTGAAAAATTTTCCGAAACTTCACGGGAGTTCAACTCCCGTGAAGTTTAATATACTTTTAAACTTCACAGGAGTTTCAACTCCCGTGAAGTTTAATTTCTTAAAAAACTTCACGGGAGTTGAACTCCCGTGAAGCTTAGATTGTAAATTTTTCCCCTTGTTATTCTTTGCTCTCACGTGAATCATCTCTGATACTTGTCCCCTCTCCCCATCTGAGATTTCTGCAAGTTTCTTATCTGTGCACCCCTAAGATTCAACCTTTTGAAGTGAGTTTCTCACAAAATTGATACTTGTCCCCTCTCCCCATCTGAGATTTCTGCAAGTTTCTTATCTGTGCACCCCTAAGATTCAACCTTTTGAAGTGAGTTTCTCACAAAATTGAATCTTGCTTCTTGATTTTACATGGGTTCATCGTTCTAGCCCGATTTGGGATCTAGCTTGGGTGAAAATCATTGTTCGGCATTGTCAGCCTCTAGCTTGGGCGAAATGGTGCAGGAGGCTTCCCAGAGTTGCTGCGATGAGGAGGATGAGAGACTTCTATATGGAGATCACATTTCACTTTGAGAGCTCGGTGATCCCAAAATGGATTCCAAAATGGGAAAGGAAAGAATAACAAGTACCAGAGATGAGGGACTTCATTATTTTGATATATTTATGTGGAGCTTCAATTAGCCCCTCTAAACAATAATTCCTCCTTTGGTTTCTCTTATCTGATGTTTTTCTTCCTTACAGCCACCATCCCTTTGTTCCTTCTAATCTGCAAGTCTCTCCCTTTGAAGCCTCTCCCTTTATGGGCAAGTGAGGTTAGATTACTCTCAATCTTGTTCTGGCAAGAATTCTTGTACTTTTTTGTGTATTCAGTGAAGAATTGTAGGCTTATTTCTTTTCGGGTCATTGAGATTTCGATCAAAATGAGTTCCAAGAGGAAGTGTGCTTCTAGAGTTCAGAATGTGGAATCAATGGAGATGTCGGTACTATGTTTGCCTGTAACAAACTTCACGGGAGTTGAACTCCCGTGAAGTTTGTACAACCAATGTAGCTTCACGGGAGTTGAACTCCCGTGAAGTTTTAGCAGTTTGTTAAAAATCTCCTAAACGTCACGGGAGTTCAACTCCCGTGAAGTTTCGGAAAAATATTTTCAAAAACCGACCTGGTTTCAGCGACAGCGCTGAAACTAGGTCGGTTTTTAAAAATAACTTCGAAACGGGTTGTTTTTTGCAAATAAAAGTTCAAAGAGGTCTCTTTTGAAAATTTGTCCTATAAATAAGGCTTAGTTGCACTTAAATACCCTATAGCTTCTCTATTGTACACTTGTATACCCTCACATGTTTTTGTGGCACTTATATTCATAAAGTTTTTAAAATTTGCACTCAACTACCTCAGTTATGCAAATGCGAGAATTTTCCCCTACAATTCTCATGAGAATTCACATGCTAATTTTAGAACTTTTTAACCTCTTATTTTAGTTAAATTTACTGTTAAAGCAACAATACTTCTACTTCAGACATACCCTAATTCCGTTTTAAATAGGATTTTGATAGGTTTAACAGTAAATTTATTAAAAATTAAGAGTTAAAATGTTCTAAAATTAGCATGTGCCACATAAGAATTTTCGGGGAGAAATTAATTTAAATAATTTGCATAACTGATGTATTTGTGGTTAATTTAAAAATTTTTAGGGTATATAAATGGTGTCAAAAACAATTGAGGATACATAAGTGCAAAGTAGGGAAATTGTTGGGGTTTTAAGTGCAATTAAGCCTATAAATTATATATGAAAGAATCCAATAAGAGTTGGAACTCTGCATGTGGTCCTCACTGTATATTTTTTCAACTATGTGATCCCCATAATATTTGCATACAGGCTTCCATGTGATTTTTCACCACAGACAAGGTGCAAAATCGATGCACCTATCGCCAATGATTATGAATTTGTACCCATATCAATCATGCAGACACCATGTTGAACACCAATGCTTCCTCAGCCACTCCTCAGATACATGTCAATTGCCTCTCGATCACGTCCTCAATTGTCTAATGTATATTTTTAATTTAGAACATTTGTCCGACACTTCTCAAATACACATCCTACACTTCTCAATGGCTCGAAGTCTTTATTCACTACTGCATGTTTGAAATATTTCTATACGTTTATTTTTACATCAAGCCTTATACTTTTTATGGGAAAAAGACAATTGAAATGTTAACTTCTATGAAACTATAAGTTGATATATGTCCAGCTCCCTTCCAGAAAGTTGAAGAAGCAAAATCTGTTCCTTTTACAAAATAATAAGACTATATATAAATCAAAATTTAGCATATCAATATTTTGTATTAAGCAGAGACAGACACACACCAACACACACACACACACACACACACACACACACGTAATTATGCAATCAATTCTATTCATATGTGAGTGACACTGACTATGCTTTTTAACCTGATGCTCTTTAGATCTGTTCTTTATGCCTCAGGATCAATGCTTCATGACCCTTCATTACTCAAGGACTGAAAAGGCTGGATCTTAGTATCAGAACTTTGATATTTTTTAATTTTTTGGTTCTAACCAACTGTAATTTCGTGAAACATTGTCTGGACTGCAGGTCTGCCTTCGAGCTTCCTTTTAGGTTCTCAAAAGAAAAATTTTCCTTTAAGAACCTTATCTTATTCTTCACTCATATGTTCTAAATTGGACTATCTTGTCAATAACATAGGTGAAGGTACTAACAAAATCATGAGTCTTTGCTGCACAACATTAAACTCTTATAGCATTAGTTCTTAGTGTATTGTTTGGTCTTACTTTGTCCAGAGCATGTTAATTGATTCTCTCATCTTATTGAAGCAATCTCTAACTTTTTACAAATATACTCATTTCTATATTAGCATATCGCCGTAGCCATTTGAGGATTTTTGAGCTATAGGGATTTTTTTAATTTGCACTTCCTTAATTCCTATGTTCCAGTTCATAAAGCATGGAATGTTCTTAGTAACATAGATGTTTTTCTAAACACAGAATCTATTAGTATGACCCCTTTATATTAATTGTCTTTGATTAACTTAAATGATTGGTTTGCACATCTTGCCTAAATCGTCATTTGTTCTTTTCATAACCAAGTAGCAACTTATACTCAGTGTTGTAAATAGCGGCCAATAGCGGGGTTATAGCGGCGCGAATAGCGGTTGCGGCCCTTCAGCGCTACGCGTAGGGGTTTCGCGGCTGGCTTAAGCGGGAAAATTCGCTATTCATTCGAATAGCGCGTAAAAGCGGATTTTAGCGGGTTAAAAGCGGGTTTTCGCGGTTAAAAGCGGATTTTCGCGGTTAAAAGCGGATTTTCGCGGTTAAAAGCGGATTTTTGTTGTTAAAAGCGGCTAAACCCGCTAAACCCGCTATCACACATATTATGATACTATATTTCTTGAATTTCTTCATAGTTTCATTCATACAACAAGCTTATTAATTGTTATTTATTGATAATACAAGAAATTTATAACTAATTAAATTTTTAGATTTTTTATGAATTTTCTTATTATTTAGGATATTTAAATATATTTAAATTTGACCGCTATTTGACTGTGCGCTATTTGCCGCGATTTCGCCGCAATAGCCCGATATAGCCTTAGCGGTACCTCACCGCGACGCGCCGCGATCCGCTATCAGCAACCTTGCTTATACTCTTGTAAATGTATAATCGATAATGGTGGTAAGTCTTAAACAAATTAATCAAAGATAATATATGACTGTATCTACAATTTGTTGTGTGCATAAATTTTAATCTTTTATTTTCATCCTTGTTAACTTATTCTGGTTATTGTCTCCTGATTTTGGTGGGAATACCTTTGTTGTCTCCATCTATTTTATGCCTATGTCAACTCATGAGAGAATTGGCTTTGCTTGCTGCTTTAGGTTAATGGAGAAATATACAATCACGAAGAGTTGAGATTGAAGCTTAAGTCCCACAAATTCAATACTGGCAGTGACTGTGAAGTGATTGCCCATCTCGTGAGTCATTTATAACTTACCAAGTTTTTATTATCAGGTTCTTTTTAGGTTTCCATAGGTGAATTTCACAATGAGAATGTCTATGACTTCGTTTTAATAGTTTCTAAGCTTATAAATGTGTGAGACTAGATACATGAAGTTTACTAAAGTTGTTTACTGCAATTACTTATCTTTCCCCCCTCTTTTGCCCTTCTCTTTTACATAAGTATGAGGAGTATGGAGAGGATTTTGTGGATATGTTGGACGGAATGTTCTCGTTTGTTCTTCTTGATACTCGTGACAAAAGTTTTATCGCTGCTCGTGATGCTATCGGCATTACTCCGCTTTACATGGGTTGGGGTCTTGATGGTAAGTGATTATATTTCTGTGGCACTCTTGTAATGCTAATTTTTTTGGGTGTGTTATATTAAGAAAAGGGAGCCTCAGATTTCTTGGTTCTTGATTGAATCCCTGACATTCTGCATGCTAGTGGAGGGAAATTTCTAAAGTTCCCCTCCACTAAATTTTTTTTGGTGTGTCATATTAAGAAAAGGGAGCCTCAGATTTCTTGGTTCTATGATATTTCTACAGTTTCCAAATGGTAGCTAAAATACTAAATGTCATTGTTTACCAGGGCCAATGAACTGGAATAGAAATTCCTTTCCAGTCTGTGCAAGTGTAACAGAGATCCTATTTGTGATATACTGCCCCCAGGGGCGGAGGCACCTAGGATCCTTTGGGGCCTTGGCCCCACCTTGGGAAATGAAAGAAAAAGGGGGAGTTACATGTTGTAATTTCTTGAACAATAGGGGCTAAGATGTAAATGAGTCAAACAAACAAAAGAAGCAGACCTTATATCATTGAGGGATGAGCCTTTATTATTTGTACTTGAATCAACTCTCCTAGGGTATACAATGGGTCCTGTGTGAATAAGCCCCCATGAATTACTCTTGGTTCTGATTTCCCATTGTAAAGCATCGATACATTAGTAGGATGGGAATCGTCCGCTGCACTCAAACAAAAGGTTTCCTTAAGTTTATGTAACATCTTATGATCTTAATGACATAGAAGGGGGAAAAAAAATCAGGCAATAGACCTGCTTGTACTCTTGACCAATTGCGAATAGACCCCACGTAGTTTTATTGTTGCCGATAGACCTCATGTAGGCTTGTGATATATTCCAACTGCAGATATACCCCTTGAGTGAAGTTTGTTGATTCGTTTACCCTCAGGAGTTTTATTTGTCAAAAAACAAAATTCTCTTTCTCTGTGCGTAAAATGGTCCAAAAAAAAAAAAAAAATCAGCCTCGTCGGACGTCCTCCACTCTCCTGCGGACTTGTTGGCCATCCTCAATCCTTCCCGGTCCGCCCTCCTGCGCCCTATTTTGTTCTCGTTTGGCCTCCTCCGATCCTTTCCGTGTTGTTGTAAGCATTATACTCTAATTTGAAATTTGATGTTGAAAGTTTTGCTATGTGGTGATGTATGATACTAATCAATAATACAAAGTTTTAACATATTATTGTGTTTAAATATTAAGTTTTTTGTCCCCCCCCCCCCCCAACACCCCCAACAAAAAAATTCCTGGCTTTGCCACTGACTGCCCCATAAAGCTCTCTTATATAGAAAAAACTCTAGAATCTTTATTGCCCTAGCCGAGTAAAAGAATGATATCATAGTAAATGCCGCTTGCAAACTGCTTATTATCTTTCGGAAACTGAAATAAACTTGTCCTGGAACACATTCTGGCCGAGTTCATTGCAACTTTCAGCTTATCTAAGGATTTCTGGATTCGTGGAACTAAACGCCATAGGCAACCCCTTAAAGAGCTTCTTCTTTACATTTATTATTCTTCTTTAAGATAGAAAATTTAACATAAGATTTTTTTTTGATACCATACATGTATTACACTGGTATTACTAACTACATTTTATTCATCTTTTCAGGGTCAATTTGGTTTGCATCAGAAATGAAAGCTTTGAGTGATGATTGTGAACGATTTATATCATTTCCTCCTGGCCATATATATTCCAGCAAAACTGGTATGCTTTATAGGTTTAGCTTACTGTACCTGCTAATATTAAATAAACACATGCTCTCGGAAATTCTGATCAAAAGACTGTTTTCATTGTGGTTGTTTACAAGTATACATCTAGTTAATTTCTTGTAAGCCCTCACCCATATTAGCTTTGCTGCAGGCGGACTACGGAGGTGGTACAATCCACCATGGTTCTCGGAACATATACCATCAACTCCTTACGATCCTCTAGTTTTACGTGATGCCTTTGAAAAGGCATGTTTCTTGCTCCTAGTATATCCCATTTAGTGAAAATCATGTGACTATTGGAATCCAGATTCATGTGTTTTCATATGTTCTGTCTCATGATTTTATTGCTTTAATTAGAAAAAAGTGTGCACATAATCATTGGTAGACATTTATATAATTATATGTAATAAATTTGCCAAAATTTAGTCAATCCTTGTACTCATTTTGACCTTCTTTGGACCATTTACCACTATATCAATTTGGTCATAGCTCCCATAAGGAAATAATAGTTTTTAGTGACATACTTCATGTATGCCCTGTTTCAGCAACTAAATTGCAAGCCTGGAGATGTGTTATTGGTTTTATTTTACAAGACTTGATATGCTGGAATATTCTCTTACTTTAGTTTTGTTCCTAATCCTTCAAAATCCAGGCTGTGGTCAAGAGGCTCATGACTGACGTGCCATTCGGAGTGCTCCTTTCTGGTGGCCTTGACTCATCACTTGTTGCTGCTGTTGCTTCAAGGTACCTTTCAGAGGCCGAAGTTGCCAGACAGTGGGGATCTCAGTTGCATACATTCTGCATTGGTCTGAAGGTTATTATCTTTCTTGTTTGGCATGTAACCTTGTGCATGCACTGTGGGAGTTCAAAAACTTGCTTCTCTTCTGTAATTTGATGATCTTTTATGTACCATGTACTTTGCTGTCGCAACTATACATACAGAGACAGTAGTGACTTGTAGTGTTGGGAACACTTATTAATTGATGCAGATAGCTGTTTTTTCTTCCTAGCTTTTTCATTGAGCTTCCCTTTCTGAATATGCTAATTGTTCTGATATGCAGGGTTCCCCCGATCTCAGAGCTGCTAGAGAAGTTGCAGATTATCTTCACACTTATCATCACGAGTTCCATTTTACAGTGCAGGTAACTTGCATTCCATAAAGTTCCCAAGGTGAGAGCTATAACATGCGCAGGGTGGCAATTTCTGATATGTTTTTCTTGTTCCATTTATCAGGAGGGCATTGACGCACTTGAAGAAGTTATTCACCACATAGAAACATATGATGTGACCACTGTTCGAGCAAGCACCCCAATGTTTCTGATGTCACGTAAGATTAAGTCCTTGGGTGTAAAGATGGTTCTTTCTGGAGAAGGTTCAGATGAGATTTTTGGGGGTTATCTTTATTTCCATAAAGCACCTAACAAGGAAGAGTTTCATCAGGAAACCTGTCGAAAGGTATCTACTTGAAATAATGATTTTCTTTTTGCAAATTTCTGATTACAATTCCTCTTTTTTCTGTAGACTGGAATATGTTGTCCTGCATTTGAAGAAAAATTATGAAATCTAGCGTCTTGTCAATGTCTGCAGTGTATAGTGCATAAATGCAATAAGTATCTTTCGTGATGTATGTGTAAAAGCTGCAGATTTTAGAGTAATTGAGAAAAAGTTCTTACTACTTCAAAAAATTTACATAACTGTCCTCTATGAGTGCCTGAAAGAAAGCATTAATGTTCACAAGTTTTCTCATTGACAATCTAATTTTTTCTGCTGAGGCTACGTATGCCGTATGCCATTGCATCTGACTTCATTCTTCTCCTAAATTTCTCTTTGGTGCTTTTGTAATGTATGTGACATATGCCTATCTTAAAACTGATAGTTTGTGATTTTTTTTTCCTTCAAACTGATCGAGAATGTGTTACTAACCTTTGTATGTGATGACACTTTAGATCAAAGCTCTTCATCTGTATGATTGCTTGAGGGCCAACAAATCAACGTCAGCATGGGGTTTGGAAGCTCGTGTTCCATTTTTGGACAAAAATTTTCTCAATGTAGCAATGGCTATTGATCCCGAATGGAAAATGGTAAGAGCTGATCATCACTGTTCATCTTTAATGACCTGAGTGCAAGGTGACCTACACACACTGTGCCTACAGCACAATATAAGAGGATAGAATCAAAATAATCTCAGAAAGGCAAGGTGCAATATATGCACTTAACTGATTATTGATTTACGAAGTTTATGAAGTATATGATAAAACCGAATTTTCTTTTATGTTGTTCATCTTTAAACCCTTTTGATGTGGACCGTGTGTTACCCCATTATTAAGTTTGAGCTGAAGACAATCTATCTTTCATATGTATTTTGGCAATTCTGATGAGTAACATTCATGGAGTTAAATACTTGAAATCTACATTATTATGTGTGCGATAGCTGCTTGCAGCCACTGATTTGCATGCACACACACACACATGTGTGCACATAAAAACACATGGACACACACAAAATGCTAGCTATCTCACTTCTGAGAATTAAGGCATGGCTGGGTTGCCTTTACATGTTGAGGACTGTTCTGAAATACAGCTTTATGTACAATGCAGCTTTTCTTGGTTTTACCCACTTCTTTGTTAAGGCTTCATGTGTAGGTTTCCTTTTGCTGCAGATATCAAAGTCTTTTTAACTAATTGGCCTTTATTGTTCAAGTTGATACACAAAGCTCCCAATTGGGTGTAGCTGAAACTAACCTGAGCCATGTCCAACGAGCTTCAAGAATTGTATAAGAAGTGTGGGATATAATCCAAGAAGTGTATGTCTAGTGTTTTAAATTAAAACATGTAATATACAATTGAGTACACGTTAATAAATGTATGCATGTATCCAACAAGTGGGCAAGGAAATGTTGGTGTCTGGTATGGGTGTGGAGTGCCCTATGGATATTACTTGTGTTCACGATAGAAGTACCCATGAGAGATAGTTTCTCATGAATCTTGAAGATTTGTTTTCTCTTAGTAATTCATAAGTTATCATGAAATGTATACTTTCAGTGCTGATGATGTTGCATTGTTCAAACAAATTTCAGATAAGGCCTGACCTTCGCCGGATCGAGAAATGGATCCTGCGCAATGCCTTTGATGATGAGAAGAATCCTTATTTACCAAAGGTTTCAATTGTTATATGCATTTGTATAGTCATGAAAAATTGAGAAAACTTTCTGATCAAATGTTGATTTCCTATGTTCTGTGCTCAGCACATTCTTTACAGGCAGAAGGAACAATTCAGTGATGGAGTAGGTTATAGTTGGATCGATGGCCTGAAGAACCATGCAAATCAACATGTATCTATCTTTGCAACTCGTTCGGTTATATGAAGACAATAGTTTTTTCTGTTCCTTATCATAGTTCACGAATTTTTTATGAGAAACATCTAACTAGTTTATTTTGATACCTACTTCAATTGCACTAGTAATCTTGGTTGTTGTTAACTTGACAGGTTTCAGATGCCATGTTAATGCATGCAAGCTTCGTTTACCCTGAGAATACTCCTACGACAAAGGAGGCATACTACTACCGTACCATATTTGAGAAGTTCTATCCAAAGGTGAGAAATTTTCCATCTGTTCTTATGAAATTTGTACAACTTTTTGCTGGATACTTCACCTATTTTCTTCTGCAGAATGTACATTTGTACCTGTTTTAAAGTATTGCTTCTCTTGTGCTTGTGTTAAGGAGCTGAAGTTGTCTATATTGATTTTGAAAAAAAATATCTTCTAGAACGGAAAATTCTGCACTGCTACAATTTTATCCAAAATAGTAAGGTGTAGGTAAATACAAATATCTGTTTTATCTTTTATTTAATCAAATCAATAATATCCACATGTTTTCTCTTTGGGTTGTCAATTTTCAAATGCTTTTGAAGGAACAATTTTCTCTTTTCTTGACTGTGCCTTAATCTTGGAGAAATTTGATCTTTTCTTTAATCAACATTAGCTTACACCGAATGACCTAATAATTTTCATTTCCATATCCACCACCTGCAACTAGGTTTTATTGCAAACCCACTCTTGTGGGTACTTTCTTTTGCTAAGATCTCTGGACCAGTGTAAGGAGTAGATATCAGGTTAGCAGCCGGTCATCAAAGTCGATAGCCGGTCATCAAAGTCGATAGATCATGGTGCCTTCTGAATTTGGAGCTGTGCTTCCCCCATGGATATGCTTAGACGATGAACATTAGGAAAAATTGCAAGTGAACTTCATAGCTCGTATTAAGTTCCATGAGTTCTAATTTTATGGTGATTTGTGTAGGTTTCAAGAAAACCACCTCCTTTATTTTCTCAATATGATAGCAGGAAATAAATAAGTGATACGTTCAATAATAGGAGAATTAGAATATCCTTATATCCCCCTGGCTACCCTTAAGAAAACTAAATGAAAAGTACAGATTCTGCAAACAGAAACCAATTGGAAAGAAGAAAAAAAGAGCTAGACTTGAGCAAAGCTACTCTATTTTTATAACTAGGATGTGTTTGCGGTTGCTGGCGAGAGGTTACTACACCGCTCATAAAGCCAAATGAAAATGTACTTGAGAAAAGCTGTTCTGTTTTTATAACTAGGGTGTGTTTTACTGTTGCTTGTGATAAGTTCCTTCACTGCTTTCAAAGTGAATAGTGATCTTGTTTTCCCCTTTTCTGTATAATTGGATGTCAGGCAGAGGGAGATCTAGCACAATTTCACCAATCATGGCTGTTATGTATGTGTCGTATTGTGTCAGATCTCCCTGTCGACATCTTTTTATGATTTATATATTGTCCAATATAACATGTACGTAACAGACTATGCTTGAAGCAATAATTTGGCTTCTAAGGTAGTACAGTAATTCTAGTATTCTAGAAATAAACTTGCAAGTAGTGGACTTGTAACAACCAACCTCATACCATTTTATAAACTCGATGGATTGATTGTTAGAAAATGTTCACATTAATTAGTACCTATGTTGCTACGCAAGGTTAACAAGGATATTCAACTTCTGAGATAATGCGAGCAGGAAATTACTTGACTAATCCCCACTGTAATGTTCACTAAAACTCTTAACAGTTGATCCACAATGGGAATAGTTGGTTGACATAGTATCGTTACTTCCTTTTTTGCTGAGCCTGCTGTCATGGTGCTGAGGTCTTTTTATTAGTTGATACAAGTTGTCAGGAATTTATCTTGTAAAAGAAGTGGTATAAAGCGGAGTTTTGCATCGGGTATTTTGGTTGCAACTGACCACTTTGTTGGTCTCATTCTTACTGTAGATCACTAGAGTTTACTGACCCTACCTTTAAACTATAGCATTGTTTCAGGAGCAAGAGGTGTCTTACTCGTGACCATCTTCCTTTGCACATTATGTATTATCAACATGGTTTCTAATTTTACATGCTTCCAAAATGCACCATTGCTGTCGTTAGCAACATTTGCGCACTCTGCTTGTAATACGAGTACATCCTAGATCTTATGCAATGCTGATTTTATTTTACTTGGAATTATTTCGTAACATAACACGATTCAACCACTGACCAAATTTCCATTGCCAAATATGTGACATCTGGACGGGTCTGATGAACAAAGATGGTGTTCAAGCATTCATATATTCCATGTTAGGAAAGGGTTAATTGCGAATAGACTCCCCACACAATCACACAATTGTGGATGGGCCCTCTGTAGTTCTATTGTTCTAGGTTTTAAATACTGGATATCGGGGATTTATCGGACAGTCAAAATTCATATCGGATAGCGGATATCGGGGATAAGTAGTCTTTATTGGAGTGATATTACCGGATAACATATATACATATTATACTATCCTAAAATATAATCTAACCATACTTAATGAAATATAAACATACCAAAATGTAAATAATCATGTTTAGGATCACTAACTAATGGTAGAAACTTGCATCTTGATTGCACGAGGAAACCATTCGAGTGCATAGTTAGTAAAAATGGAATAACATACAAGCAAATAACATGATAACGTAAAGAATGAAGAATCATTAACATAATCATTGTGTAATCACAAAATCATAAACTAACTTACTAAGTTGAGATTTAATAGTTATTAGCCATGCCAATATTCATAATCAAACATAAGCTAATGACCAAACAACCAAGTTCTAAAAGCAACAAATAGTTTATAATTCTTAAACATTCAAAGAGCAAACCCAAACCCGAACCAATGGCCAATAATTCTGATATTTTGAGCCGACCATATCGGCCGCTAACTCACTTTATCGCCGTATTATCGTCGATGAACATCCAAAAATGCTAATCAATTTAAAATCAAACTTATCATAACGGAAGACCCCCAGAACCAATAAATCGCCGATAATATCGGTTTATTGACTGATATTTAAAACACTGCTCTTGTTGTAGATAGATCCCATGAGTAATTTGTTCGACTCTTTCATCCTCAGAGAAAGAATTTTTTTTTCTAATAGACCTCCTGAAGATTCAAGAGTAATTATATTTAAAAAAAAATTCACTCAGGAGGCCTGTCCACCATTGGGTGATTGTACTGGGGGTCTATCCCCAACAATAAAACTACAGGGACCCCATCTGCAATTAACCCTTAAAAAAAAATCTAGTTTATGCGCATGACTCACAACTAATGTTTAAAAAAATTTCTTGTATAGAATGCTGCAAGGTTGACAGTTCCAGGAGGTCCAAGCGTAGCATGCAGCACTGCCAAAGCCGTAGAATGGGATGCCTCATGGTCAAAGAATCTTGATCCTTCTGGTCGCGCTGCACTCGGAGTTCATGCTGATGCTTATAAAGAGGAAAACCTAGAAAAGAATCCAGCTCCACAAATCTCGACTGCACCGAATGACTTACCTCCAAAACAAGCAGTGGCAGAGGCAGCAGCCATGGCAGCTGTGTGATCTAGAGAGTTTCATTGCTTTGCCTCTTCTCTCATTTGATGATTGATTGTTTGTTTGGGGTCATTTGGTGTTGTAACCTAAGATAGGAAGTGCAGAATTTTAATTATGTGGTTAAATAAGCTTGATCTAGGGATTTCTTGTTGTTTACGGGTGTTTTGTTTGCATTGTAAATATCCAGTGGAATCTCTTAATTTACCAGCAGGGTCGCTTAATGTCAGGCAGTCGTTTATGTGATATTCTGAACTGAAGTTTTCCTATGACATTAGCAGTGGAAATAAATAAACAAATTCCTTGTGTCGAGTTTAATAATGATTTGTCAGGTCCATGGCAGAAGAAATGGTGGCTGGTGAATGTCGTCGGAATTTATGTTGTTGATGATTACTCCATCAACGCTCTGGAGATATTTTCTCTAAAACGGCGTAAGATCAGCACGTTAATCATGTTGTTGGAACTTCTTGAACGTTCTCATGTATTTATCAATGAGATTTTCTGTTATGCTTACATTCTTTGGACTTCATAGTTTGTAGCGAACCAACATAAATGCACAACGTGCAACATGGTTTATGCACTATTATCTTTGATCAGAATCACCGATGGAATCCCAAGGCCTCCCCCACCTTCTGCACTGCAACATTATCATTGATACCTTAAAAAAAAACATTTTAAGCGATGAAGAAAAGGAAGTACAAAGAATACAAATTCTTATCGTGAACAGAAATCCATGAGCAACACGATCGACGTAAGTACTGAATTAAAACATTAACTTAAAAAGTTTATGCGCGACGTTCACTCGAGAAGATAAACTAAACTGAGAAAGAAGATAGTCGGCTAAAATCGAAACCAACGTGAACTTTCATTGAGACGTAGCCCGAACTTCAGTTGTATCTTTAAACTAACCTGGCAAATTTGTATCACAATAGCGCAGCTGCTCACAGTGCCCATACCGAAGCATTTCTCGCATCACCTTGGATGAAAGTTGTGCACTCTCATAGTATCAACACCAAGAGCATGTAGTTCCATAAAGGAATGTGATACCTTTGTAAAACAACCTTCAGTTTAGCAGAACACCAAAGCCTTTAATAGCATAAGGTCTCTCTCCGAAGGGAGCGGATTTCTTTTTCGTCCAATGTCCTCTCCCGTCGAACAATGCTTCCAGTACCCCGTACGTGAAAGGAGTTACCTACTGATAGATGCACGTAAAAGCAAAAGTACACAACTAGTTAAGCGCACAAATGCAGATTAATCGCAGACTTAAATCCACTCACCGGTCTAAAAATACCTCGAAAGCAGGAGCACTGGGCTTCATCTCAAGAGCTAGCCTTCCACCTGTTTACATCTCGTTATGCGAACCACACACTTATTTTCCTGTATTTAACCTCAATTTTCTTTTCCGCTGCTTTAAAGTGAATCTTGAGTCTGTGCATTAACTTTTCAGACCAGATGTAAAGACACGATACGACAAAAGACGAGAAGGATTAGCTAAAGCTATCATGGCCCTCAATTGTATGCTAGACACCTTAGTTTTAATTAGACATATGAGTTGGTCAGAGGCCAAATGAAGCTGCACCAGTGCTAGTTGAGGCAAACAAACAACTGCTGCTTCTTAAATTTCATCTTCGATCCAAAGAGAATCTTGTGTCTTTTAATTCAGTGGGTGGATTAGTCCGATACAACTCCAGGAATTCCTTAAGCTTTAAGATCTCAATATGTATAATTGTTCACTTCGGAGGGATATCTGTATTCCTCGTCCATGCCCTGCACGTGTTGCACACCAATACGAGTCCAACGTGCCTACACTTGCCAACACATATCAGACGCACTGGAGTCATGTAGGGTTTTAAGTACAGAAAAAGAATCATGAGTCAGGACTATGTTGTATTTTAAAAAAGACTAAACATTGCAATCAAATATGTAAAAAGAACCATTTGTTGCCTACATAAATAGAAAATGCACCTTTAACAGAAGTTGGAGAACATGTTAACATCAAGACTTGGTAAACAAAATATTATGTAGACTGCTGAATATTAGGGATTATGGTGGTATTATTTGATTAAGCACCTTACTTGCTGAATACAGTCCACCAGCAGTAAACTTCCCCTAACTTGGCGTGCTACAGTGCTTTGAAGAGTTGTAGTCCTGGACGTCTTCACTGGCAACCTAGGAGTAGTATGGGGAGAAGAAGTTGAAAGTTAGCTTATATTTCAATGCACAGAAGATAGCTCTAAGGGTTAAAAAACAAAAAACAAAAAGGAACACTTTCATGATACTATTAGGATTTCCTAGCTCTTAAATTCCAAAATACAAAAGTAAAAAATATGGTAGTCGAAAACTATGTCAAATGTTTATCAGACATAAACTCATTTAAAAATGATGCAAATTATGATCAAGCAGACAACATCCGATGCAACTGGCATACAATTCTCTGAATAGATTTTACTCAACAAGATTAACCACGTAGTAATCATATATGACTAGAGATGTTATCAAAACAAAGGTTAGAAACAACACAGAGTGATATCAACACTGGAATGAAACAAATTTTCACCAATATATATACAAATAAATCAGAGCAGAAAATTTTGGTACATGCTTTATGTGCACATACAAGCTGACACATACATGGATACATACTAGCACACACAAGCAAGTACACATATGATAAATAAATAACCTATTAGACAAAATTATTGCCCATATCACATAATCTAAACTTCTCATTACAGTATTTCCCTGATGATTGTGTAAGATATTTGGTTGTATTTTACGTGATATTGCAGGCACACCAGCTAGAACATCTGCTGCATTTCGCTAACACCTTTTTGCTAAATCACAAGTCTTCTAGACAAGCTGGTAATATTTATAAACCCACGAAGTAACACAGCATCCATTTTGTGCTGTCTTCAACTCCCACATTAATTTCGTCCTTCTTCTTCAACATAGACAAATCCTGTTCTCTCATTCAAGTACACAGATCCTACACTCATAGCTGGTTCTTTCAAATACCAAATCAATCAACTCTTATTCACTCCAAACAGACATCTTAATGCTTTCAGATGCACATAAAAATTGAACCAATATGATCATAAGTAATGAATGCCACTTGAGAAAAAAGGAGCTAGATTAAACAGAACAACGGCCAACATGACAAATCTCCAAGTCCTTCATAATCATTCTTCACTATACATGAGAACTCTGTCAATATTAGACACTGCAAGTGGCATATAAAGTTCTAGAATACTCCAACTCCCATAGTCAGCTTGATGCGACAATAAAGTCCATGCAATTCTCTGAAATGTATTTTACTCAAGGCAGGCTGCAAACAATTAACAAGGAGGAATTCCTGTAAGATATGTAAGTTGCAGGTAATCAAAATGCACATCCATAACACAATTCCAGGCGCAGCTCACAAATTCGATGATACGCATTTCTCTTTGAAGTCAAGAGAAAACTCGGATAATCTATCTGTTACCCAAGTTTATTGTAAGAGGACTCCAAAATCTAACTTTGAATCAGGACACAGCCTCAAATCATTGTGAAAGTTCAATCCGTTTCAAGATGTCCCATATCACAATTTTCAATTGGTAATGTCTCCACAATTTCCTTCAAGATTTTGTGATTTTCCCCTAATCTCTCCAATGTCATGATAATTCAGGAATTTGATTGTAAGTTCCCCTCACATCTCATACACCTAATAACACCAAAGAAATTAAACTAAAGATCAACCCAGAGTCAGCTTCATTAAGTGGAAAAGCAAGATAATATTACTCGAAATTCAACTGTCATGGAATTTTTCAAAAAATATCTCAGCCACTTATTCAACTTGAAAATCTTTGGACTGAAGATTTCAAACACAATATCGACATGTTACAAAAGAAACTTTCCAGATCTTGAATACCAATAATCAAACCTTTCTTCAACCTTGATATGTCGCCCAGACACCAAAAAAAAAAACAACACCGAAGTACAAGTCTTCTTCAACATATTTTATGGGTCACTAAAACACCCAAAAAACCTCATTTCGAGGCACATCTTTATATCTATCCTATATATCCATTTTCCTTGTAATCCTATACTGCACAATCCCATTCCACCACTATTAAAACAAAAAAGGAAGAATTGGTATAATCCTATTTGCAGCAAAGACCAAAAAGAGCTAAAAGAAATTGGTGCCTGCACGACCGCTGTGCAACAAATTATGCGCAATGTTATCTCTAGCCTGCAAAGCACTCACCGATCTGATCCCATTCTCTGCCACCATCTCATCGTCGACAAGCTCAACCCTGAGCTCCGGCGGCAGCTCCTCCTTCCTTATCTCGCATATGTTATGCAAAACACAGCAAGCTCCTAGAACCACCGGAAGATCAGTGAGCTTCATCTCGGTCCTCTTCTGCAAACACCCCCACCTCCCCTTCAACCTCGCGAAGGC